AGCAGGTGTCAGGCCTGGACGCGATGAACCTTCTGGTCTGGACCTGAGGCTCCGGAACCTGGTGCTTGTGCCTGTGAGCTCGGCCTGAGCGACCTCGGGGGCTTTCTGGCCAGGATTTGGAGTCAGAGAGGGGCCATGTCCCTCCTTGTCCAGTTTCCTCTGCTGATCTCTCAAGCACCAAGCCTGTCCCTGGTGCCAGCCTGTCTCCGCGATCCTCGAGTGCCTGCGAGCTCTCCTCTTCAGCGAAGCGGAGCGCGCGTCGGGCTCCCCGGCTGGCGCGGGCAGCAGGTCTGGAATCCCATCCCCGGGCTGGCCTCAGCCTGTGTCATTTTACAGGTGGTTTCCATTTGCTTCGAGTTTTCTGTGTGTGATGTTGCTCTTCATGCTTAAGGAAATTCCTTTTTGTTTAAGGTGACTTGATTTGAAGCTCAGTCTCTCTTTTCTTCTTTTTTTTTTTTTTTTTTGCATAGGGTATAGGCCAGGGCTGGGGGTGGGGGGCAGTGAGAGGATTCCCCAAAGACAGAGAGGGGAACAGAACAGGCAGATTGACTGAAACGCACTGCTGAGGGGAGCAGCGGGGAGACAGGAGAGGTCTGCTGCGCCCTGTGGTCAGCTCCCTGGCTGGGGATCGAACTCAGGCCCGACATGTGACAGCGCTGAGACTCAACGCCTAGGTCACCAGGGAGGCCCTAAAGCTCAATCTTGAGTAGTCAGTAGAGCAAAAGAGCAGAGGATTCAACGATAATCGTGAAATTTGGGGCCTGAGCCCAGAGAGCTTGTCCAATAAAGAAAGGCCTTCAGAGATCGCCCCCGAGAGCCCCAGGATTGCACAAAGGGGTAACGGAGGTGCAGGAAGGAGGTGTTTGCCTAGGCCACTCAGTCAACGTCTGGCAGAAGCAGGGCGGAGAACTAGGGCTCCCTGTGACGAGCCTCGCCTGCATCCCAGCCGTCACTGCCGGTGTGTCCCCGAGATTGACCTCAGCCCGGGCAGACAAGAAGTCGGCCTCCTGGCGCCTGAGAGCGCTGGGAGAGGCTGAGCTGCTCCTCCCCAGTGGCACAAAGCCTTTGTGTGCATGACAGGGAAGGTCCAGCGAGATCAGGTGACGGGGCTCTCTGCCTGGGCCCTTGCTATTGGGCCTTCACACTCTTGGTTGGAGTGAACCCCTCTCCGATGATCATGTACCCCGCTACCTGCGCATCTCCTGGGCCAGGAGGCTCCAGAGGCCGATTATGCTCCAGAGACCAGGGAGAGCAGAATCGTAAAATCTGTTGTCCCAACCATGTCACCTTCTCAAAGGGGTCAACCTGGCCACCACCTGCCCACCTGCTCCCCAATACTTCCAGTCACCCTACCTGCTCCACTTAATGATCCTATTTATTCCTGACTCCATTGTTCATTGTCTGCCTCTGCCCACTGGCCTGGAACCGCCACCAGCACAAGCAGCTGTGTATGCTTTGCTCACCAAGGTGTCTCAGGCGCCCGGATGGTCCCGGGCAGGGTGGGCACTCAGCAGATGTTTGTTAAAAGAACGGGAAGCTGGTCAGACAAGTGTCCAGGAGTCCTCGCTCCCTAACTGTGGGATCTTGGGCAAGTTACGTGGCCTTCTTGAGCCTCAGTGTCCATGTCTGTAAAATGAGGTGGTCTCCTGACTTGAGGGTCGGCAGGGCAGCGAGGTGACAGCACCTCTGTGGCACCAGGCCACTTCCAGGCGTCAGTGGTTGTCGGCTGCAGTGACATCGAAATCCACAATTCCCTCCCTCATGCGGTCAGTCAGTCCACAGACATCTGGCCTGGGAAGCTTTCTCAGAAGACGCAGGAGTTGACCGTTTCTGAAAGAATGATTGACATTCCGAAAGGACAGGTGGGATGGAGAGAAGGAGGAACCGGGGAGCCTGGGGCAGGGTGGGTGGTGGGCACAGGTGCAGGGAGGGCGTGTTCCAGGCCCACGCCAGGAAGCAGGCATGGCGCCCTCCCCCAGGGCACATGACTCCCGCCCAGTGGAGAGGGGCGCTCCGGCCGTGTCTGATCAAAGGCGACTGCCGTGGCCTCTTCCTTTACAGCAAACACACGCTGAATGCCTCCTGCAGGCCGTGCACTGGCCCGGGTTCTGGGGACACAGGGATACCCAGTCTGCAGCCAGAGGGACACCTGCAACTGACACCTTTGCCTGGTCACTTTCCATAGCTCTTCAGGTGCAGCTCGTGGCTCTCCCTGCGGCCACCTACCTCTCTAGCCCCACTCCCCACCCCTCCTCAGTGTGTGGCTCTGGCGACATTCCTGTCATTTCAGTCCCTGCCACCTTCCCATCCTGGGCTCCTGCCCTGGGGTCCCCTCTGCTCCCACCCAAGTGCCTCCCCCACTTTTTCTTCCCTAGATGGAAGGTATGTAGTAGAGAAAATGAAAATATGGCAAGGGAGGTAGGAAATCATACAGGAAAACATTTAAAATGTGCAACAGTCACGTTTAGAAATAAGTAAAAGCGTGATGAATAAAGCAAAGGTTTATGCTCCACTTCTGCTTGACAAACCAGCCGTGTCTTATGTATGATTAACGACACCAGGAAACACACCTGTGTGCACGGGCAATTAGTAGCACAATTCAAACACAAACAAACCCCGCATTTGGGTCCCCCACCCCCTGCACCTCCTGAAGCCGTGCGTGTGCCCCTGGCCGGCTCAGGCAGCTCCAGTGTCTTGAAGTGACTGGACTCTGCAGGCAGGGTCAGCACGGATGCCGCGGTGTCCTCCCTGGCCTCCCTCCACCTCCCTGAGCTCATCCATCCCCCAGTCCCTCACCCATCTGTCCATCCATCCACCCAGTCACCCATCAAATTAACATTCATACATTTTGAGGCCCTACAAGGTCCCAACACTTTACACAGCGTGTGATCAGAACGGATGTGTGTGGCTGTCCAGTTTGTGGCTGCTTCTCCTTCTGAATTTAACTCCAGGCAGGTGAGGCCCAGGTCTGTCTGTCTCAGCAGCTAGCCCAGGCCCTGTACCCCTTAAATGATTATTTAACACAGGGTGTGGAGGGGAACTTCAGATCCAGAGGCCGTCACAATGCATGGAGATGAGCGCTTTATTAAAGAGCTGCTTGGCGGGAGCCCGAAAGGTAGAGAAAATTTCATAAAGAGGGCATAATGGACTGGGTGTTGAAGAGTCAGTAGGAGCTGGTTGGGCAGGAGGTAGAGGGGATGGCAGAGGCAAATCTTGGGGTATACAATTTAGAAAAGACGTCATCTTGGGGGCAGCGTGAGAGTGGCATGCTGCAACCTGCCATGTGCCGGGCGTGGCTTCTCCACAGTCTCGTGTCACCCTGACAGGTCCTCAGCCGTGTGGGGTAGATGGGATTACCCCCTCTCGGCAGGGGAGCTGCTGAGGCTCAGAGGGTTAAGTGCTGTGCTACAGGGCTGGCCTGGCCCCCCCCCCCCCCCCCCAGTGACGAATGCTGCAGAGCTGGGAGATGACTCAGGGCTGCTGATTCTCTGTCTTCCCACACCCACCCCTCGGGCTGATGCAGGGGAAACGTGTGCAAGCACACTGCGGTGATGCCAACCTTTGTTCTGTGCCCCTTAAGGGGGCCTCAACCTTTGCCCCCTCCTACCCTCTCAAAGCGGGTGACTCTGGTCTGCTGGATAGTGAAACTCAGCCCCATAAGCTAGCCCCCTCCCTCTCCAGTCTGCTTTCCCCACCAGCCTGCTGTGGGCTGGGTCTCCGGAGGTGTTGGCTGGATATACAAGTGCTGAGGGCCCTGGGAGCCTCTCTCACTTTGGAAAGGTGCTGAGGAAGACTCGCTGACCCCCAGCTCCACATGGAACCCCTCTCTTCTGCCCCAAACCGGAAGACACGGTCATTCGCTTCCTGTGGCTAACCTGTGTGGCCACAGGGAAGCCACTTCATCTCTCCGAGCCTCAGTTTCCACATCTGTCATAAGGATGTCCATTCTGGGTACCCACAGGGTAACTTTGACTAGAACACAATAGGCACAATGAGCTGTGAATTGCTAGGCACGCCCAGGGGATGACAGCTGGTGCCAGCTCAGACTTCTCAGTGCCAAGCCAGGCAGAATGCCCTGTTCCCAGAACAGCAGCAGCAGTGGGCATTCACTGCACGAAGTTGGGAATCAGCTGCTGGAATTGAGAGCATCACAGGCTCAGAATCTAAATAGCCCAATGAGCAGCTGTGCCCCTAGTGCCCCCTAGTGCTCATGGGCAGACCCTGCAAGGCCACCGTCAGGGACAGGTGCCTGAGCCCCAGGGCCCTTCTGCTGAGCTTGCAGACAGCTCAGGCCCAAGGTCTTCTTGGCCGGCTCTGCAATAGACACACCAGGCACTGAGCGCAGCTGCCGCGACTCCGGGCTGCGTCCTTCCGGTGCTGGACCAGCTCCTTCCCCGTTCTGCCACCTGCCAGGAGGCCAGGCTGAGCCTGAAGCTCCCACGTGGACCTCTCAGGGAGGTAACTTGGTAGCTCATGTGCCAAAGACCCAAAGCCATGGCTTACAAGGGGGAACTAACTTTTCTAGAGCAGCGTGCTAGGTCCCCACAAGCCCCAAGGGGCAGCATCCTTGTCCTTGTGTCAGAAATATGGAGACAGAGGCTCAGAGAGGGCACGGGGCTTCCCCAAGGAGACTGTTATGAGGATCTGCACTTGGTCTCTCACTCTCCACCAGATGCTTGCCTTGGCTCACAGCTTCCCCAGATTATCCACCGACAGTCAGCAGACACGCGGGGTGGGGGGAGACTAAATCACAAGACCCTCTGCCTGCCAGGGAGAAGGTCACTGCCAGCCTGCTGGGTGGGGGTGCAGCGCCCAGTCCTGGAATGTGCTGCGCTGGGAGGGGATCGGGGAGGAGGGCGTGCTGTGTGCTGGGACAAGGGTCGTGGGAGCGCGTGAGGATGTGGGATTCGATAGAGGGTCCCTGTGGTTCTCAGTCCCGGGGAGACCCAATATTCCCAGCCCCAGGCATGGCCGGGCCTGCCGCGAGCCGGCGCTCCCCCTTACTCGCCGGCGGGATCCGTGATCTTGCCCAGGAAGAGCAGGGAGGACGTGGTCTTTTCCTTGATCACCAGCAGGAAGGGCCTGTTCATCTTGACAGCCAGCGGCTTCTCCATGGGCAGCGTCTGCGCGCCGGAGCCCGCGGCCGCCTCTGTGCCCTTCTCGTCCATCCTCATGGTGGCCTTGTGCACGGCCTGCGGGGAGCAGGGCCGGGGAGAGCTGAGGCTGGGGTGCTCGTGGGACTCGCCCAGGGTCACTCGGCTGGCTAGGGGCAGAGCTGCCTGGAGCCCAGCCACTGGGGTGGACCCTGGCTCCCGCGGCCTCCCCCGCCCCGGGGCTGTGTGAAGACCCCCGGCCCTGGCCGAGGCTCCGCTGGACTGACCTCGCTCACTTTCAGGTTGTGATCCGGGGAGATCCTGGTGAGGTCCCCGTGTGCCTCGAAGACCTTGCTGACGCCCAGGTAGGACAGCATCTTCTTCAGGTCGTAGGTGCCAGTGATGGAGAACTTGGGCATGGACACGTCGGCGACCCTGGAGGGTAGAGAGTGACCCGTGAGCAGCAGGTCCCCGGACTCTCCGGGGCAGGCCCTGGGGGTTGGTGAGAAATGAGACCTCTGTCCCCCCGGGCCCCACACGTCTCCTGCCACAGAATGCAGTGGGGCTCCTCAACCCCGGGGCGTCCATCCTCTGTGAACTCTGTCCAGCTTCCCCTCACCCAGAGGAATGTCCTCACGGGCCTGCTGTCTCAGAGCCCCTCCGCTTCAGGGCCGAGGGTCCAGCCTTGCGAGCACCCTGACCCCAGCAGCAGAGCCCCGAGTCTGAGTTCACGTCCACGCGGCATCTCACGAGCTCCGCAGCTGTGCACTGATGATCTCACCTCTCTAAGCCACTGGGGCGGAACTGACGCTGAAAACCTCGCACCCGCGGACAGCGCGGCAGGAGCAATGCCCGGAGGGGCAGTGGTCGGCCCTGGTCCGTCCTCTCGCCCTGGAGTTAGCAGCTATGGTTTTCTGGGGGCGGGACTGGCTGGACCCTGCTGGGCCTATGTCAGAGACACTTGTAGGTCCTGGACTCCTGGTCACCTGACCCCTGAGCCCCACTTCTTGCCCATTCAAGGACCCTGTCCCTCGTCTGCCCATCATAAACGGCATCTGCCAGACCGCTCCCAGGGCTGACAACAGCACCACGCCCACCCTGAAAACAGATCCAGAAGCAGCTCCCTTGGCCCTGACCACCTGTCTGGCTTCCAGGCCACTGCTTTTCCCCCCCTCACCGCAGAAGGGTCTCCCCCTCCCCCGGCTTTCCACGTCCTTCCATTGTCACCTCCACCCACTCCGAGCAGGCCTTTGTCCTTAACGTTCTCTCCAAGGTGCTCTTTCCAGAGACACTGCTGACCTTGGCTTGCTGGACCCGCAGCCACCAGGCTTGCTGGAAGCAGCAGGGCCAGGGCCCTCGTCCACCCTGAAGCACTCCACCCAGGCCCACGCCTACCTCGCCAGCCACTCGTTCCTCTGACCCTCCCCTGGCCGCGCCAGCACCCGGCGCCCAAGCCCTGTGCCCGGGCCCTCTCTCTTTCCTATCTCCCCCTCCCCCAGAGATCTCAGTCTGTGTCGTGACTTCAAGTACCTGCAATGGGCAAGTGACCCCCAAACCCACCATCCCACTCAACTGTCCATGCAACAAAGACTTGCCACAGCCCGCTGTATACCAGGCCCCCTTCTAGGTGTGTAGAGGCCTCCATGACCAGAACAGCAAAATCCACGTCCTGCAAGATGTGGTCTGTCCACACGGTAGCTGCCACTTGGCCATAAGGAAAGAGGAGACACCGCCTCTTGCAGCAACATGGAAGGCGCTTAAGGGAGTGGCAGGCAGTAAAGCAAGAGGAAGGACATATTGGATGTTTATATAGAAGACAATTCGACAAAGCAAAATCCTTATAAAAACTAGAGGACGGTGATCAAGGAGGTGAGGCTTCCGGGGTTGGAGGGTGGAGATAGCGGGTGAACGAATCAAAGGGATCAAAGGGATGGCAGGAGGTGAAAAAAATGACTCCATTTTTTACGATAAACATGCACAGCTACTACCCCCCCAGGAAGAAGACCCTGCAGCCAGGGGCGCCGCAAATAGACTAGCTTGTCAGCCAGCCCAAGAAACTACCTTCCAAGACTAAATAACTGTCCAAATGCCACTGGTAAGCAGGAAGACTGTCCCGGCTACTGTGCCGAGCAAAGGGAGAAGGGAGACTATGCTGGATGTCTCAGGCAGCACCGTGCGGGATTAAATGACAAAACACAGATGGGGACACTCCTGCGCCTGACATCGCCCTCTTTAGAAGAACTGGTGGATACATGGTGTGCATGACTCAGCTCGCAGGCGGAGAAGCAGAAGGAATCAGTCCACTCAGTTCATTTCAAACGACTCCCAACAGGAATCATTAAAAAAAAAAAAAAGCCACACCCTTGAGTTTGTCTAGCCAGAAAGATGGACGAAAGCTTAGTCTAAAGATTCTGGATACAGTTGATTTACTTTTATTGACGTGACATTGCTTTATAGAATTACATAAGTTTCAGGTGCACACCAGGGAGAGTCACCATGTGGATTAACATTAAGTTAATTCCATCCTTCATGTGCAAATGTCCTGTTTACCCCAAGTACCTGTCTTCCTCTCCTCTTTCCTTCTGGCAGCCACTAACTAGATTTTTTGTCCAAAAGCTTATTTTTGCCTATTTAGTTCACTCATTTATGTGTTTTCTCTGTAAACCACATATACATATGAGTAAAACCAGCTGGTGTTTGTCTTCCTCAGTCTGACTATTAAGCACAATTCCCTCCAGGTACCTCCATGCTGTTGCAAATGGCAGGGTTTCACCTTTTTCCTAGCTGAATAGTACTCCATTGTAGCTATACCGCCTCTTCTTTATCCATTCATCTGTCCATGGGCACTTAGATTGTTTCCGGCTCTTTGCTACTGTAAATAATGTGGCGGTAAACATGGAGCTGCATATATTTATTCAAATTAGGGCTTTTGCATCTTTCGGGTAAATACCCAGAAGTGAAGTATGGAACTATGGGTCATATGGAATTGCAATTTTTAATTTTTTGAGGCGTCTCCATACTACTTTCTCTAATGGCTGCACTGGTTTCCAATCCCATCAACAGTGCACAAAGGTTTCCTTCCCTGCACACCCTCTCTGACACTTCCTTCTTGTCTCTTGAGTAATAGCCATTCTCACAGGTGTGAAGTGATAACTCACTGTTGTTTTGATTTGCATTTCTCTAATAACAAGAGACGAGGAACATCTTCATGTGCCTATCGGGCATATGCGTGTCTTCTTTGGAAAAGTTTGTATTATTTTCTTCTGCCCATTTTTAACTGGGTTTTTTGTTGTTGCTGCTGTTGCTACAAATTCTTTATTGTGGTTTTTAACTCCTTGCTGATGTATGACTTGCAAGTGTCTTCTTCCATTCAGCGGGATGTCTTTTTGTTTTAATGGACACATTTATTTCATGGTGCAGAAGCTTTTTAGTTTGATTTATTTTTTATTTTGTTTCTTTCTGCTGGAGTTGAATCCCCAGACACATCTCCATGGCCAGTTTCAAGGAGCATATAACCTATGTTTTCATCTATGTATTTTATGACTTCATATCTTAATCCATCTTGAATTAATTTTTGCGTGGGGTGTGAGATTGTTATCAGTATCATTTTTTTTATATGTGGCCGTCCAGTTTTCCCAGAATCATTTATTAAAGAGACTTTCCTTGCTCCATTGTAAGTTCTTGGTTCTTTTATCAGAAATGAGTTGTTTATATATATGGGTGGTTTTATTTCTGAGCTTTCAATTTTATTCCATTGCTCTTTTCATTTTATTGCAGCTCTTTTCATTCCAATACCATCCTGTATTAATTACTACTGTTTTGTTAGGGGGAGTGATACCTGCATTTCTGTTCCTTCCCCCACACTCCCCCAAGAATGTTTTTGCTATTTGGTGTCTTTTAATTTCAAATAAATTTCATGATTTCTTGTTCTACTTCTGTGAAAAATGCCATTACATTTGTATAAGAATTATATTGAATCTGTATATTGTGTCAGTAATATAGTCACTTTAACATAAATTCTCCCAATCCATAAGATAACCAGATGTTCTGTTCACTTTGTGGACTTGCATATCCAATTCTTTCCCCATATTTGGGAACTTACCAACTATTATTTCTTTGAATAAGTTCTCTCTTCTCTTTCTCCCCCACCCCAAGGTACCCTTTATTCTTATATTGCTTTTTTTAATGGAGTTGAATAATTATCATACTGTTTCTTCATTTTTTTTTACATCTTACATCTCTGTATTTTCCACCAGATTCATTTGTATTTTACTTTCTTTGAGCTCACTGATTCATTTTTCCACTTGGTCTATTCTGTTTCTGTAACTTTCTATAGTATTCTCGCTCTCATTTGTTGAATTTTTCATCTCCTGAATCTGTTATTTTCTTGTTTAAGGGCAATTTCTACCTTCTACTTGTTAATTTTATTTCATTAATTTGTTTTTTTGAATTTTTCTATATCTCTGATGAGCAATTCTGAGTTCTCTTTTATTACTTTAACTTGCTTTTCTGAATTTCCTTCCACCTCTTTGAATTTCTTCACTATAGCAATTTTGAACTCTCTTCTCTACCTGATAGGAGAATGTAATATTCCATGTCACTTGGAGGCTTGGATTCCGGAGAGGTGTTTTCCCCATGTGATGTTCTATGTCCTTGAGGTCTCAAAGTACTTGGTATTATATTTTATCTATCCATTTTACACTTTAAATTTCCCCGTTTTCTTTTTTAATCTTGATTGACAACTTAGAGAGTTGAACCACTTTTACTTTTCTAGCAGGTGGCACTGTGACTTTGATTGAATGGGATTTGTTGCTCTTGCTGGCTTCCACATGCAGATTTGTCTTAGCATTTCAGTGTCCGCAGGGCAGACAAGGGAATGGACAGGGGCAGCCACTGTTGCAAGTATGCTGAGGGGACAAGGATTCTGTTTGTGGAGCCCCTGATCTCTCTCCTCTCTGGGGTCCCAGATCTGGGACGCTGTGGTTTGTCCACCGTCAGTGTACTTCATGAAGTTTGTGCAAGTGCCAAGGAGGCAGACAGTCTACAGTGCCTTCTCTGTCGTTCTTATTGCTGTGGTCACAACAGGTGTGAGGAACCTCAGTTCCCCTTCTATGGGTTTTATCTGCGCAAGGATGTGTGCCTCGATAGCATTTCTGTTCTCCCTTCCCCAGGGCCCACGACGGGGTCAGCAGCCCTGGTATCCTGTCCCCCACCCTAGGCCACCACCCCACATGCTTCTTTCCATCTGCCCTCTGTCCACTGGTCTCTGAATGTCCTTGGGGTCCCCTCTAGTGTAGTCTGCATTGGACTGAAGGGCGAGGGGTGCTTCAGCCCCACCCCGAGCTGTGGATTCTCTCAGTGGTGTCTCCTGACAAATGCTCAGTCACTCCTCTTGGGAGCAAGGCAAGGAACCTTCTCTATGGTCATCTTGGTTCAGATATAATTTAAAGCAGGGTTAATGGGATCCCTGATAGAGGGAATGAAGATTGGGAGAGAAGAGAGCGGTCAAGGATGACCCCAAGGTCTTTGGGTTGAGCAAGTGAAAGGGGAATTGCCTTTGATGGAGACCAGAAGCTTGCAGAGGCTGCACAGGGGGAAATCAGCAGGGGTCAGGACTAAAACCCCACTGGGGCTCCATGGGAACTGCCAGCCCTGAAGGCAGGGGCCCTAAGTCTAAGGGTAGAATAATGTGGACTTGTGCGAGCACAGCTGGCCCTGACAACGCGGAGCCTGTGGCCCGCACCCGAGGGTGAGTATGAACAGAAAACAGGAGGGAGCCCCACGGCACTCAGCCGCGAGGCTTGGAGAACGGCGGGAGCGCAAAGGAAGCAGAGGGCAGCGGCGTGGCAACCAGGAGGTGGTGGGGTCCTGCAGACCCCGTGTGGAAGGCAGAGGAGCAAGGGCTTCGCATGTGCGTGGGCCCGCGCTAGGACGGTGCCGGGCTCAGGTGCACTTCATTCTCCTGTGAGGTCAGTCCTGTGAGGTCAGCGCTGTGCCGGCCGCGTCGGGGAGGAGCGCCTGGGTCTCAGCTAAGGCTGGAATGACGCAGACTTTCCCTCTGCGTCGGGTATCAGAACCTGCCAGTCCTGGCAGATGCCCGACTCTCATCCGGGTGGGGGTGAGGGGCCGTGGGGCGTGGGGAGGGGGGTGCTATGCAAAGCCCAGGTGCAGCCGCCCTCTTGGGTGAGGCTCCATGTAGTCTGCCGCTCCTCCCTGCCTACCTCCCCCACATGCTGGGGCCTTATCTGGAGCAGTCAGAACCAGAACTTTCCTCTCATGCACTTTCGGCTAAATTTAGGTATCAGAGCCTCGCTCTGGAAGTCCTCCAAGGGCGTGGGCTGTGCGGAAGACTCGGCCTCTGGTTAGTCACCACCAGGGGTGGCCCAGCCCTGTCCTAGCATCGCCTGTACCCCTCGCAGGCCCCCCTGGGCTCCTGACAACAGGTTGGGAAAGACAGGTTGTCAGTAAAGACCCTCTGGGTGGAAGAGAGAATGCAAAGAGCAGGGAAGAGGACGAGCTGCCACCGCTCCTGCCCGAACAGAAACTGCCCTCTCACCTCACGGACGCGCCACCAGTCCCGCCGCCACAGACGCCGTGTCACCTTTTAGCTTCCAGGAGCCACGCACATCCACCCGACACCAAGACTACACTGCACCAAGTTCCCAGGACTTAACTCGAACACCAGCCCTTTCCTTTCCTGCTAAAATCTACAGACAGGGAAGATCCTGAGTGGGATTTAGAAGCCTACCCTATGTCTGTTCTGTATCTTCAAAATAATTTACTCACTTTGATTCAACTGTTATTAGCACAACTTACTTGGGACACAACTTGGGACACCCCAGCTGAAAACATTATTCCCCGTACAATGAACAACTCACAGCTCCACTTAACACCCCATGTGTTTCTTCTTGAAGTTTTCTTCTGCTCGGATTACCCTTCTCCATCCTTACAAATCACAATTGAACCTTGAAGATGCAATGGCGCCTCCTCCATGCAGCCCTCCCTGACCACTACCAAGTCACCAAGTGTTTGCTCCATCCCCTGTACCCTCAAAATTGTCACACATCTTCCTCTAACAGCAGGCATTTCACCATAGCCCTATGACTGATTCCCAGGCAGCATCCTGCCCCAATACAAGTTCAACACCAAGCCCAGAATAAGACTTGGCCATGAAGTAGGAACTCAACACATCTGGGATAGAAGAAGTAAAATGAATGGGAGGAAGGAGAAGAAACAGGAAGATGAGGCAGACACCAGAATCCCTCTTTACCTTCGTGTGATCAAATTTTTCCATCTGGCAAAAGTGTCCCTCTTCAAGGCCTTCTCCACAGTCTGCATTTTGCCCTCGTCTGGGAGGATGAAGGTGGCCGTGACGTTGCCCTGGTAGGGCATCTCCAGGACGGTGCAGGCGAGCTCGTCATCACGGCCCACCTCGTACATGCCCCCGTGGAACATCATGGGCACCTTCGCCGTCCTGTTTCCATCCATTAGGAAATCTTCCTCTTTCGTTTCTTTTGGATCAAACTCCTGTTGCCACCTGGCTTAAGGATGAAGAAAGACAAAGTCACACGAGCATCCTGAGCGAGGAAGGGGACAGGATCCAGCTGACCCCTGGCATCTGCCCACCAGGATTCAAGGAAGGGGCTGCGTACTCAGGATATCAGGGTGGGCTTCTAGACCCCCGTCCCATCCCTGGCCGGACGGCCTCTGGTGAGGTGACGGTGGGCCTGAGGATCAGCTCCCCAGGAGGCCGGGAACAGGGCTGCTCAGCGGAGAGGGGAGCTGCAGACTGCCCTAAGCCCAGCCCCAAGCCAGGGTGCCCCTGAGGCTGCCAAAGCCCAAGGATTGTGGCAGAGAAGACTGGGCTGTCCAGAGTGGGCACTACTGAGTCTGAGGTGGGTGTACATGAAACTCTAAGTCAATCCTGAGGAACCGCTGTCGCTTGGGGCTAAGCAAACTGCCCATGGGAGCCTGCTGAAGAGCAAAGAAACCCCCAAACTGGACTTTGGACTCCCCCTTTCTGGCCCAGAGGATGCTTTAGCATAACTCAGACCTGGTCTTTTCACACCAACTACCCTCCAAGCCCCATTGTAGGATTTAGCGGGACAATTGCTTGAGTTCAAATTCTGTTTACACTGTTCTTGAGGGCTGACCTGGGCGTCAACACCCCTGGGCCTCCGTGTCTGTATCTGCAGCCTGAGGATGCTCAGGGGCGCCTCACAGGGCTGCTGTGAGATGGAGCAGGAAAGGCAGCAGTGCTCAGAGACAGCGTTCAGTGGGTTTGAGCGGATGACAGCCATCACACTTGTGATTCTTGTGGTGATCTAGGGAATGTAGGGACTGTGGGAAATTCCAGATTCTTCTCTCTCCCTCTGCTTGGAGCAGATGACGGTCTCAGTCTACCATTATCTCTCCTTTCCCCTCCACGGCTGTCCATCTCCAGGTGGATTCTGGAAGAACTGCTCTTCCGTAGCCAGGACCACATTACCGACAGCCCGGCAGTGATCGTGCCTGATCTGAGGACTGTCAGCCACCGATTTTCATCTCTGCTGGCCGACCTTTATGCGCCTGTGTGTGTGAGCGGGTGTGTGTGGCTGGGGGAGGGATGAAACTTGGATTTGGGAACATTTCTCCGTCCTCTTTTACCCTCTCTTGCCCTCAGGTCTGGAGAATCTACAAAATGTTATAGAGACCAAGGCACGACCCCCCCCCCAAAAAAAAAAAAAGTGATCCCCAGCACCATCACTGAGAGTGTGAGATGCCTGCTGGAGAGGGAGAAAGCACACAGCCCTCAGACCAACAGAAGTGGGTTGTAATTTTAACTCTCACTGACTAGCTTTGTAACTCAGCAAGTCAGTTCACCTCACTGAATTTTACTTCCCTTATCCAAGAAATGGAGAAAACAATGTCACTCCATTATCTAGATCTGGTGTTGTGGATAACCAGTAAAATGAAAATGAACATACAAGGAGCCTCCCTCGTGGTTCAAGGAGTTAAGTCGCAGCACTGTGAAGCTATCGGCGGCCTCTGCAGCACGAGTTCAATCCCTGGCCAGGGAGCTACCCACATGGCGCAGCAGACCTCTCCTGTCTCCCCGCTGCTCCCCTCAGCAGTGGATTTCAGTCAGTCTGCCTGTTCTGTTCCCCGCTCTGCCTCTGGTGAACCCTCTCACCTCCTGAACCTCTGGCCTGTACCCCAGTTCATGCATGCATAAAGAAATCCTTTAAAAAATGAAAAATGCACATACAGGGAATAAGTTACACCTTCGCAAATTCATTTCCATACATTTCACTTTGAATCCAAACAGCCCCTCTCTGAGTTATGTGTCCAGAGACCAGGTACCAAGAGACTGTGTGGATAACAAGGTGGGGTTCTGAGTTACAGAGCAAGCAAGTGACCAGCCCAGGGTTTTAATCTGAGCCCGCTGTTCATCCTACCCTCCCCATGCCAACATGGCCCAAGTCTTACCTCGAAAGAAAATGCAATTTACCAGAAGCATCACAGTGCCAGGGGCTATGCTGTTGATCAGGTCCTCGATCTTCCCGTGGGTTTTCTCGCTGACGTAGTCATTGACCTGTTGTCGCGCATTTTCCAAGTTATGGAAATCAGTGGGGATGGTGTCTGCATTGTACATTTTCTTGATATTTTTCAAAAACTTCTGCTCTAGCTTCACCTTCTGGTCGATGAACAAGGCATTCTCCAGGCCCAGGTCCAGATTCTGGTTCCCCTGGTTCAGCCTGGGGATGAGGTTACGGAAACCTTCATGAAGGTCTTCCTCTGGCATAGCCCTGAAATTGAATCCTTGTTTGATCTCTCCCAGGGTGGAGTCCTGGGCACCCAGACTCAGCATGGAGAAGGCTGTAGAGATACTCAAGGGGGAGAAGAAGATGTTCTTATTGGGCTTGTCGGAGGCCAGTTTCTTGAACAGATTGAAGCCAAACTCCGTGTTCCGCTTGGCAAGCTCCTGGGACGTCCTCCTGCTCTTCCATGCTGAGAACTGGCTTACAATTCCACGATTCTTTGGAGAGAAGCTGGGATTCAGAAGGCCTTCTACAGGGAGGAGGCCAGCCAGAAGCAGGCCCAGGCCCAGCATGGGGTTCATTTTCCCTGGAGAGTGTCCTGTTGAGCGACAGACATAAGATGAGCAGAGAAAAGAATCAAAGATTCCCATTCCCTTTCTTATCTACAAGCAAAACCAGATGAAAGAAGTGATTCAGTGGCTTGTGTTGTGCACAGAAGTTTGTAAGTGCTCTGATCCAGGGCTTTGGAGTCCGTGGATCAAGCTTTACTTGAAGTCCACCCAGCTCCATTTTTACAAGTTATGAGTCAATAAATTTCTCTTTTAGAGTTAGCTGCTTTGAGTTGGATTTTTTTTTTTTCTTTACAAAGCATTTAACCTTTTAAGTTACCTGAGGGACTAGAAATGCTTGTCCCGATATCATGAATGAGAGTCCTGGGTATAGAGGACAGCCCTGTTTCTGTACCCATGTTCTCAGTCTTACAGTGGCAGAACCTCAATTCCTATGAGTTGTTCCCCTCACCCCACTGGACAACAATCAGAATACCCTGCTGCGTGGGCATGTGACTCGAGGCCATCCTAATACTCCAACCTCCTGCCACACTGATTATTTAAGAAATGATGAAGATCAAAATCATATCAATCAGTGTCTTTGTGTGAGAATACAAAGCCCTCTTAACTTTCGGGTGCCTGGTTTAATGATGCCGCCCTGGATCTGAATGTGGCCATGACTCTGTCTACAGATAGATAAAGAGAGGTGGACATGGAAAGAGAAATGGCAAAGTTTACTTGGTGAGGGGCTTTGAAGTCCCTGGATCAAGCTTCACTTGACATCCACCCATCTCCATTTTTATAAGTTGTAAGAGTTACCAAATTTCCCTTTTAGAGTTAGTCACTTCGAGTTGGGTTTTTTTTTCCTTATGGAGGAATCCTGACTAATTGGCAGAAATCAAGCCCTTGGCTAAGATCACGTGAGCCTGAAGTGGAGAACGCCCGCTCCCGGAGAGCCCAGGGCTCTAGCAAACCTTCCCCACACTCTTGCCGGAGAAGACAGTTGGGCAGCGGGATGGAAAGGTCGAGTCTGACCAGCTCCAGGACGACTGTGCCTCCCACCACGCGGCCAGCTTTGACATCTCCCAACAGACCTGAGAGCGACTGGGGGAAACTTCATTCTCTGTTTCCCTTCAGCCGTGGTCCCGATGCTGCAGGGAGCTGCCGAAAGTGCTATTCCAGAGTTTCTTGATTTCTCTAGGGGGACATGCGCCTGTCGATGATTTTTATACCCATTTATATGTTGAAATGAAGACAGATTTCCTTGTTGGGGTCTCTATTATCTTTTATACATTTTCCTTTAATCTACACAGGTGCTCGGGTGTGTGATGTGTGGGCAACAGTGTGGTCCTCAGCAGTGAGGTCTCCTCCTGGCTGTGCTGACTGGGGTCCTGAGAAGCAGAGCCGAGACGAGCACTCGTATGTGTACCGAGGGTTGGGGAGGACAGAGCCCTGGGAAGCGAGGGGAACAGGGCAGGAAAGGGAAGGCGCAGAGCAAGGACACCTCACCTTGGTCTTATCCACATGAGCTACGCGGCGGCATTCACCTGTGACACAGGGGCTGACCTTTCACATGGAGTCGTCCGTCCGGGGCTGTGGTCTGTCCCAGGATGCAGGGACTGGGGGGACCTCCCTGGGTCTGTGAGGACCCCCAGCCAAAGGCCGTTTTCTGGAGTGAGGGTGGCAGCTGTGCGCCGCAAGCACCAATGCTCCTGGCACCACCAGCCTAAGGGACCTGGGTTAGGCCATCAAGGGAGGCCGCTGCCAACCCCCACCCCCCTCCCAGTCCCTCACACCCAGTAAGCTCCTTCAGGTGGAGCCTAGAGAGGACCAACAAAAGGCCTGCACTAGGAGTACCCCAAGCCCCAAGTCCATTGTGCCCCCCAGACCCTCCGTACCAGGTCCCGAGAGACCACCGGCACAGCCGAGCCGTCCTCCAGGAGCGGTGGCCCAGTGCTTGACAATTCCTGTGGCCGCTGCCTACGCACCCCGTCTTCCTAACAGGGCTCATTTCTTCAGGGGCCCCCTCCCCCAGACAGCCCATCTGCCCAGGGATAGGGAGCCCAGCCCCGCTCCGAGGCAGCCCTGTGCAGCGGGGTAACCTCACCTCCCTTTGGTGGCTGGCTCGGGAGCCAGGCCTACTCCCACCCCCGCCGCAGGGGGGCTGCTGCCCCGCTTGCTCAGGGAGGCGCGTGGGCTTACGCGCAGGGAAGTTGAATTTCGGGGCTCTTTGTTAGCATGTTGGGCGCCCCCCCTTCCTTTTCCCCGACAGGAAGGCGGGGACCCCAGGAGGGAGGTGACTCAGGGCAGTGGGAACACGAAGAGGAGTCACCGGGGCTTTGCAGAGAAGCCCGAGGTGGGAGGTGGTGCCCAGCCCGGCCCTCTTGCCGTGGACTGCGGGGCCGGGGCCGCTGCTGTGGGCTGGGGCGTCGGGCCCTTCAAGACAAAGCAGCTGCAGACACAAGCATGTGCTTCCCGAGGCTGCTCAGCTCCCGGCAGCCAGAAGCGGGGGCTCTGCTCTCGGCCTCCGGGCTGTGCGAGGCTGAGGAACGCGCTGCCCCTCCGAGCCCAGCAGGGCCCTAGGACCGTGTCTGCAAAAATTCAAAGTACCTGGTGATGCACCAGGGGCCTGGGAGGTCTCTAAAGATAGATTCTAGACGAGAAGACGACTAACCATCTTCTAGTATGTTTCAAGATAAAAAAAATAAACTAGAAAATGAATTCGGCCCCCGGTGTGAGTGGGCCCAGCACAGTTTCCACTTGGAGGGAGTCGCTGCCCTGCGTGCCCGGTGCCCGAGGCCTGCAAGTGGGGACGGGACGCGACGGACGGCAGCCGAGGAGCCGAGGGAACACTCAGCACCGGGGCTACCCGCCAGGTGAGATGCACGAGCGTTGAGCAACGTGCCAGGAGCTGGCGTGAGTCAGAGCTGGGGTGAGGGCCGGGACCAGCGCAGGGAAGGGAGGCAGCTGGAGCCCCGTTTCAAAAACATTTTCTGGAACAGGCGGTGTCTGAAGCAGCTTCACAGTGACGTCTGATCAAGGAGACGTCTGATCAAGGAGCCCTAAGGATTTTTTTTTCTACGTTGCTAGTTCAGGAACAGGAATTGCTGGTGAGTCAGAAACCCGCAGACTGTCTTCTGTGTGCTGGCTAGAGCCGTGGGCCAGCCTCGGAGCCGGCGGGGCCTCGGGGCCGCCATCGGCCCAGGGCTGGGGTGGGTAGGCCTCTGGCCTCCTCTCCGCCCGGAGGCGCTGATCTGCTCAGTGCCCCTGGCCAGGTCCTCAGGGGCCCCACCCCAAAAGTTGTCACAGGGTCCCCATGGGTCCTGCCCAGGCCCACCCAGTCTGGCCTTTCTCCCTCCAAATAGCCCACACTAGCCTCATTTCTGGACTTTTCCATCCGTCATCACTCAAACTTGTCGGATGGGCAAATCCTGCATGCCTGAGTAGGCTGATTGTATTTTTTATTCCATCAATTAAAATAGCTGAGTGAGTGGTTATTTCCCAATAAATTGATAGATTTGAGCAACCCTTGGTCCCCTTTTTGAGAGAGAGAGCGAGAGAGAGAGAGAGAGAGAGAGAGAGAGAGAGAGAATGAGTGTGTGTGTGTGTGTGTTTGTTCCTCTAAATAAAATAAACAAACTAGAAGAAAGAGAACAAGATACAAACTGCACCCTGCAGGGCACACGTGAGCAGATTAAACTATAATCAGGATTTAATTTTTCTCTGACTTGCCCACACTCCCTATTAATTGGGGAACATAATTTCCTTTTCTCCTGGATAAAAGAGCAGGGCCCTAACTCATGTAGAGCGAGGACAGATTCAGCGCAGCTGTACCCCAGGTGTCACCAGGAACCTCTGACCAGCAGGTGCCTGGAGTCTGTTTGCAGAGGGCGGGGTGGGGTGGGGTGGAAGGGTGAGGGTGTGGGGTCGCCATGGAAGGGCCCCAGCAGAGCACCTGTTGCAGCGTCTTGGTCAGCTTAGTCACTGGAATGGAAGAGGCTGAGGGTCTGGCTGTGAGCTGCGACAGCCCTTTTAACAAGAATCTACTTTGTCACTTTACAACGCACTCTGCACTTGTCATCAACAATACCCAACACAGAGCCCCCGAAGAGCCAGGGCTCCCCAGTGCAGAGCAGTCTGGATCCATTTACTTAGAGGGAAGAGACCTCCCCATCCCTCTGGGGTCACCTGTCCCGTGACAGCTTACTGCCCAGCTCTCACCTCAGGGGTGACCCTGGCTGGCAAGGGGGTTTCTGTGGTGTCTTCGGCCAGTGAGACGAAACCACCTGGGGTGCTCTGGACAAGTTCCCAGCCCCAGTGGCTTGAGCCTGAGGACTGGGTGCCAGCAGCCAGGGTGTCCCCACTCAGCCCTCCTCCTACAGTCTGACGCAGACCCCTGAGACCCTACTTCGCCCTGTTCCGTTCCCGCGCTCCCCACGGAGCACAGAGCACAGGATGACCTCTGCCTGCTCTTGGGCCAAGGGTCCAAGGGTCCTTCCTGATGATGGCTTTGGTGTCACCAAGACCAGCACAAAGCTTTGGCCTCAGAGGCCTCCAGGCTCGCTCTGCGGCCCACTTTGTTTAAGGGATTGAGACTGTTTTGAAAAGGAACTCACTCTAGACAGATTACAAGCCAAGGCATTCTTTTTTACAGCAAGTTTAGAACTAAGTGGAGTAAGACACACAGAGGCAGGCCACAGGCCCAGCCCCTCCCCTCGCCATCTGCCCTGGAGAGTCCTGTCCTCACCCTGTTCAGAATATTCTGTGCCCTTGCTATGTGCCAGGTGCCCAGGCACTGGGGCGGTGCCCGGCCAGCCCTCATGCTGCCCACTGGCTGCAGCTTCCACTGGAAACCAGCAAGGCGCTCTCTCCCCTGAGGGGTACTGCCCACATCCGGCCCTGCAGAGGCCCCCAAGTCTTCCAGAACACACCACACCAGTGCTGGGCCTGGCCAGGCCTCCTGCCTTTTGTGACTTTAGTACCAGTGGAGCTGTGGGCTGGAAAGACTGGTGGCCACCAACTGCAGGGCACTC